GAACCAGTGTCCAGCCACAGGGCTCTGGGACGGCCCCATGGGTACGCACCCTGGCTCTCCCCATCTGGTTGACAGTTGAGGGTGGGAAGGGGTTGGAGGGAGAGAGGATAAGACAGTGCCCCTAAAAACAGGGACCAAACCAGGACTATTTTGGGTTGAATTGTGTCCTCCCCACAAAAGATATGTTGAAGTCCTAAGCCCTAGAACCTCAGAATGTGATCTGATTTCGAAACAGGGTCTTTGCAGAGATAATCCAGTTAAAATGAGGTCATTTGGGTGTAGGTGCTAACGCAATAGAAGTGTCCTTATAAAAAGAAGGAGTTTAGGCACAAAGACAGTCACAGAAGGAAGACAATGTGAGCAGATACAGGGCGAAGACAGCCATCTACAAGCCACTGCACGCCTGAAGCTACCAGAAGACGAAGAGGCCAGAGCAGACGCTTACCTGGGATCTTCAGAGCCCTGGCGACACCTTGATTTCAGACTTCCCATCTTCAATTCTGTAAGACAAGAAGCTTCTTAGTTTGTGGCTCTGTAACTGCAGCCCTAGGGCACTAAGACAAGGGCCCACCCAGGTCTCAGTCTGGTCTTGGGGCTCCCTCGCCAGAGGGTCCTAGGACCCATGTCCAGGCTCGGGCACTTACAAAATGCCAAGGAAAGGCCGGGCGAGTGGCGCATGCCTGTCATCCTAGCACTTTGAGAAGTCGAGGCGCGTGGATCAACTGAGGTCAGGAGTTCCAGACCAGCCCGAACAACATGGTGAAACCCCGTCTCTACTAAAAATACAAAAATTAGCTGGGTGTCTGGACGCGGGGAGAGGACAAAGACGACTAAGATGGCGCATTTCCGGGTTCTTCATCACCAACTTACCCGCGCGCGGGAAAATGCAGCCCACACCCGGGAAAAATACAGACCAACTGCGCAGGCGCAACATGGCGTCCGATCGAGGAAACCGAAACTTACCTGGTCGCACCTACCGAACACCCCCGACACGCCCGTGTCCCGCCTATTGCCCTCCCACTCCCAAGCCTTAGACAGAAAAGCCGCTCCCGGCAGCCGTGCGGCACGAACTTCCTCAGCCCCTCCTCATGTGCGGACCTAGGAACCTCGCCGGAGAACGCGGGAGCGACTTCCTCGGCCTCCGCCGGAGACGGGTGAACCTCGCCGCCCTCCTCCTTCACATTGGCTAGCTAATAATGCTTTTTTTACCTTGCCTACTTGCCTCAACTCTGGCGCCTGCTCCAGTGGTCGCATAAAACAAATCACTGGGCATGGTGTCAGGTCCCTGTAATCCCAGCAACTCAGGAGGCTAAGGCAGGAGAATCGCTTGAACCCGGGAGGCAGAGGATGCAGTGAGCCAAGATTGCACCACTGCACTCCAGCCTGGGCGACAAGAGTGAAACTTTGTCTCAGAAAAAAATAAAAGAATAGAAAATGCCAAGGAAGACTTTCCAAAGTGCAGGAGGCCCCTGAGGCTCAGGCCCAGGGAAGGACGCCCCGGCCTTGGTCTAAGGATGGGTAAAGGGTCAGGCAATATTTCAACAGAGAAAGTGACATTGGCATCAATGCGGCCTCGTGACCACCTCCAGGGATGGTTCTCAGCCACTATCCCCCAGAACTTCCCATCCTTCGGGTGGCAAGCCTGACAGTTAGCAAAAAGACCCACCCTTCCGCAGCCTCACCTGGGACCACGGTAAGCCACAGTCCCAGTCTGCATGGGTCTAGGGGAGCTGCCCAGCCACAGGATGCTCAGTGCAAAAGCCAGGAGCATCCTAAGCAAACTGGGGCTGGTTTGTCCCCCTGCATGCAGCCTCGCTCTGCTCCCCGGGGCCTGCCTGCAGGAGATTCACAAGGAAAACAGTGCCAGCTCCTCACCCGGCAGTGCCTCCACCCCTTGCAAGTGACACAGAATCAGGGCTCCGTCCCCGTCACCCGGCAGCTCTCTAAGAGCCCTCCCTATATGCCCAGGTCACTCAAAGGGGTTAGGAGCTGCCACACCCCCTCACCTTACCCTGGAGGAGGTGTGGGCCCCACAGCCCCCAGGCTCTGCTTACTGTCCAGGTTCAGGTCACCCTCCTCATCCTCACCTCAACAGCCTGCTCTGCGGTGTCCGCTTTCCCTGCCTGTCCCCCTCGCCCACTCCCCACAATGGCAGGTCAGCCTCTGTGAATACAGGTCTGATCAGGCCACTCTCCAGCTAACAGCCTGCCCTGGTTTCCCATTGCTCTCAGGATCCTCATGATGCCACCTCAGCCTTTGCAGCCACGAGCCTTCTTGAAACAAGCATCCTGCCCTTTGCTTCCGTCACTTCCAGTCCATCCATTTCCCAGAGAGGCCATCCCAGTGCTCAGGCCGGCGGGGAGGGGGGCCCATTTCACGCTCCCCCAGTGCCCTGGGCCTTCCCACAGAGCCCTCATCGCACCTGCAATGGTGGGAACGATGGTGGCTGTGGCTTTCTTCAACGCACCAAGACGATGATTAATGACCCTCAGAGGAAGACCATCAGGATCACACCTCTGGTTGAACCCATGGGCTCATGGGCCCTTGCAGTGAGAGAACACACATTATGGCAACCGTGGGCGTCCCAGTAAGAGAGTGCCAGAAAGAACCTATCATCGGTTTGGGCTGATGTTATATGCCCTGAGAGAGAAGGTAAGGGAGCAGGGCTTTGCTCTGGGTGGAATGCTGTCAAGAAGGAGGGATAACTGATTGGAGAGCTTAATCAATCTCATCCAGCTGGAGGAAGACCAGCCCACAGCTGAAGCTGCCACCAGCAAAGTAGTCTATTAGTGTCCCCATCTGCGCTATAAGATGTTGAATTAGACGATTTCTGAAGGCCCTTGCCCTTGTAAGAATCGAGGCATGTTTTTCAGAGAGAAACGGACTCATTGAGCCAATATTTCTGAGCCCCCGGAATGGGTCGGGCATACTTCTAGCTGCTGAGGATACAGCAGTGAACACAGCAGACAAAATCCTCTGCCCTCCAGAGACTGTCACACTCTGTAAGAGCTGCTAGCCCCAAGACTGCTGAGAAAAGACAAATGCGCCCCTACATCTTCAAATGATATTTTTACTGGTGGCAAGAGGAAAGGTGAGATTCTTTGTTCATCAGATTCTCGCACTAATGAGAATACCTGAAGTAATGGAGCAATTGTAATTAGGCCAGGAACTCTGCAGACTCGAAACTACCGTAAATAAGAATGCAGGTTTACTTAACCTTTCCTTTAAAACCTCAAGCGGGAGAGGAATGGAGAGAGGCTGAGCAGGAAGCAGCCCCCTATCCCAAGCACTCGGAGGTGGTCAAAGTGATGCCTCACTCATGGACCCTTCCATCAAGGTGAAATTCAAGACGGACGCTCCAGGTACAAAACTTGGCAAGCCCAGGGAGGAAGATTAAAAACCCGCATGCAGGCCGGGCGCAGTGTCTCACGCCTGTAATCCCAGCACTCTGGGAGGCCGAGGCGGGCGGATCACGAGGTCAGGAGATGAGACCATCCTGGCGAACACAGTGAAACCCTGTCTCTACTAAAAATACAAAAAATTAGCCAGGCGTAGTGGCAGGCACCTGTAGTCCCAGCTACTCGGGAGGCTGAGGCAGGAGAATGGCGTGAACCCGGGAGGCGGATCTTGCACTGAGCCAAGATCGTGCCACTGCACTCCAGCACTCCAGCCTGGGCAACAGAGCAAGACTCCGTCTCAAAAAAAGAAAAGAAACCCACATGCAGATGTCGGCTGTCAGGGCCATCACACCCGGACTGCCCCAGTGTCCTCACAGGCAGCTGACATGGTGAGAATCTGTTATTGGGGGGAAATCGGGACACGGGTAAGGCTCAGGCAGACCCTCCATCCTAAGTTCCCTCCACCCTAGACTACTGTTCAGATCCTATAGAAACAAAGGCCTTGCAGGAAACTGAAAGAAGTTTACTCACCGTGCAGCTCAAGCAGCGCAAGAGTGGCCTGTGATGTGGAGGTAGGTGGCGTCCAGAGAGACGGTCAGAGCAGCACTACAACAGACTATGGACTCCATCACAAAGATGACTTGTCAGCTGGTCCCCAGCTGCTCTTCCACACAAACGCCATGCCCTGTGGTGGCTGTGGAACCTCCCCTCTCCACTGTTAAAACACACCATTGGCCGGGCACGGTGGCTCACGCCTGTAATCCCAGCACTTTGGGAAGCCACGGCGGGTGGATCACCTGAGGTCAAGAGATTGAGACCATCCTGGCTAACATGGTGAAACCCCGTCTCTACTGAAAATACAAAAATTAGCTGGGCCTGGTGACGGGCCTGTAGTCCCAGCTACTCAGGAGGCTGAGGCAGGGGAATCACTTGAACCCAGGAGGCAGAGGTTGCAGTGAGCCGAGATCGCGCCACTATACTCCAGCTTGGGCGACAGAACGAGGCTCCACCTCAAAAAAAAAAAAATTATTTGGTTAATCCAAATTTTACTCAGGTCTTCATTAGTAGATTTACCACGGTGAAAAATAAAGCCCTGGCCGGGCGCGGTGGCTCACACCTGTAATCCCAGCACTTTGGGAGGCTGACGCGGGTGGATCACAAGGTCAAGAGATCGAGACCATCCTGGCCAACGTGGTGAAACCCCGTCTCTACTGAAAATATAAAAATTAGCCTGGCGTGGAGGCGAGTGCCTGTAATCTCAGCTACTCAGGAGGCTGAGGCAGGAGAATCGCTTGAACCCGGGAGGCGGAGGTTGCAGGGAGCCGAGATTGCGCCACTGCACTCCAGCCTGGCGGCAGAGCGAGACTCCGTCTCAATAAAAAAGAAAAATGAGAATACATGGACACAGGGAGGGGAACATCACACACTGGGGCCTGTCGGGATGGCGGGGAAAGGGGAGGGAGAGCATTAGGACAAATAGCTAATGCATGCAGGGCTTAAAACCTAGATGACGGGTGAATAGGAGCAGCAAACCACCGTGGCACACGTATACCTACGTAACAAACCTGCACGTTCTGCAAATGTATCCCAGAACTTAAAGTAAAATTCTTTCATAAAAGAAAAACAAAATCTGACCGAGGTTGCCTGGCCATTTCCCACAGACAGGGAGGCGCCTTGGCCCCGGGACAAGCAACGCCTGGCCTCTGCTGCATTCCTTCGCCATGTTTGCAACCTCCGGGTGCAGGCCAGGCCCTTAGACGTCACTTCCGGTTAGACCTTCTCCCAGCAGGTGGCTTTGCCGTGGAGGGCATCAACTGAGGCGGTGGGAGGCAGCCGTGCCCCAGGGGCTGGAAAATGCCAGCTCTAATACCCATTTGTGGCATCTGGGCTTAAGTTCAAATTCTGCCCACACCCCTGAGGAGCTGGAGATAGCGTGTGTGTTCTCAGTCTCCTCAGCTCTCCTCTACTCCCTGCATCCTGGTGGAGATGTGATACCTGCTCAGGCAGGGTCTTGGCAGCCAATGGGTGGCTTATGCAAACGGAGTAGCCACAGAGGCAGAATGAAGATACGGGAGGGATTGAGGAACCAGCAAGGAATGGGGGGAGCCAGCGAGGACGAGCGGGAGTGGGAAACCATTGCCGTGCTGAGGCTGCAGGACCTGGGGCAGGCACTGCTTGGAGACCAGTGAGAGCCGTGGCCCGGGACACCTGCTGTGACCACAGGTAAAGAGCACAACCCTGGCCAGACTGCAGCCCAGCAAGGAGGGAATCAGAAAAGCAAATGGCCCAGCACCCTCCTCTCGCAAGCAGGTCTCCTGCTGCTGCCTCCTGCTGGCCAAACCCAACGGGAGGGCAGAGGGCATGGGAGCCAGGACATCTGTAGGCTGAGCCTCCAGGGCACAGACCAGCAAGGCAGAGGACAGATCGGAGACCCACAGAGACTAAGCAGCAGTGGAGGGCTATATAATGCACCCTCTGAAAGACGCCCACATTTGAATCACCAGAGCCTGTGGATAGGTTACCTTTTTTTTTTTTTTTTTTTTGAGATGGAGTCTTGCTTCTTCACCCAGGCTGGAGTGCAGTGGCACGATCTCCACTCACTGCAACCTCCGCTTCCCGGGTTCAAGCAATTCCCCTACCTCAGCCTCCCCAGTAGCTGGAATTACAGGCACGTGCCACCACCCCCGGCTAATTTTTCTATTTTTAGTAGAGATGGGGTTTCACCATGTTGGTCAGGCTGGTCTCGATTTCCTGACCTCAGGTGATCTGCCCGCCTTGGCCTCCCAAAGTGCTGGGATTACAGACGTGAGCCACCACGCCCAGCAGGTTACTTTCTAAAGCAAAGGAATGTTGCAGCTGTGATTACATTAAGCTCCTTGAGGTGGGGAGGTGAGCCTGGATTACCCAGCAGGTGTGGGCAATGTAAGCACAAGGGTCCTTATCAGAGGGAGACGGGAGGGTGAGGGACCGGCAGAAGCCTCGTGATGATGGAAGCAGAGGGATGCAGAGTGGAAGATGCTCCATTGCTGCCTTTGAAGGGACCACAAGGCGAGGAATACAAGCAGCCTCTAAAAGCTAAACAGGCAGGAAAGAAAATGGATTCTCCCATCCGGCCTCCAGAAAGAACACGGCCCTGCCCACCCGTTTTAGAATCCCTGACCTCTGGAACTATAAGAGAATACGTGTGTGTTGTTTTAAGCCGTTAAGTCTGTGGCATTTGCTGCAGCCACCATGGGAAACTATTACCCCTGCACAATGCCCAGGGAGGGAGGTGTCCCTCGGGCCACTCAGCCCCTTACTGCCAACCCAAATGACTCTCTGGTCTCAGGGTGTCTGTCAACTCCAGAGGTCAGTATGGTGGCTCCCAACTGGGAGCAAATGCCTTGGTTTGATTAACTAGTAACGATTCCTGAAGACAAGCCAGGTCAAAGGGGGCTGCAAAACCCACACAAGCTTGTCTCATGCTGACCCTTCCAACTGCCCCCAGACAAAGGCTATTGGCATGCCCCTGGTTGCTGCCTAAGTTTCACATTTTCTCCTTTTTTAAAAAAAATGCATCATACCCACATATGAAGCACCCAGTGAAGGAGGCAGCACAGTGCAGGAAAAAAAAAGAAAAGAAAAGAAAAGCAAGCCCCATCCCAGACTCCTGGAAACCTGATGCTAATCCGGGAGCTACTGGCCCTCTCTAAGCCTCAGTTTCCCCATCTGTACAAGGGGTTGGAACTGAGTTGCCTCCAAGGACCTAGTTTGCTGGCAGCCTCATTCCATAGTTCTAAATGCCACCTTCCCTGTCACCAGCTTGCCTGACCTGGTGATCTGCAGGGGTCAGGGATGGTCGGGGCTGATGGAGAACTGCCACATTTGGAACCCAAAGCGGCCATCTCCTGCCCTGGGGACCCGTCTGCTTGTTCTCTGCTGCCCCCTGCTGGCAACTTGAAAACAAAGCCTTCCCGCTGGATCTCAGGTAAAGAAGCCGCTACCCCTTTCATTCCTTCCATGCCATAGTTTTAATTGACCCTGTTTTTAATTCTTCTGGTAGTTTTCTCTGTTTCTAAGCAATGTTTAAATCAGTTTCTCCACCTGTCGATTTTACCCCAAGTCAATGACAAATGAGGATTTGATGCTCTGATCCTTTCTCATCCCTGGTACATACCCCTCCTTGTCTCCCCATTTGTGATAGTTAGATTTGGGGGTCATCTCTTGGTTATTTTTGTAACTTTATGCAGGACACTTAGAACTCTCTAGAATCCCACTGACTTTAGTGGTCCTTGACACCCAGGCAGGGAGCAGGTGGCCTGGTCACTTCTGGTTCCATTGACCAGGATTGTGGTGTCACTTTTTAAAATTTAAAATTAATTTTTGAAATCAAAGTCAGATATGCCCATGGTAAAAAAAAAAAAAAAAAAAATTCCAAAGGGCACAGAAGAGCTTATGAATAAAAGTGGATTTCTCCCCTACCCCTGGAAAGAGAGGCCCTGAAACCTATTGCAATTGCCCGCCCAGACCTGGCCAGCCACGCCCTTCCTTTAGGCTGGTTTTCACGGAGCAGAAGGAAACCCATGCAACAGCCAGAGCCCTGGGTGGGAGGCTGTCTGCGCCTCTCCCCGTGTCTGCTGACCACCTCCTCTGCACTAGGAAGATGGGGTATGGGATGTGGCAGTTTCTGAACAGTGGTTCTACTGGCCCAGCCTCTGCCTTTGGAGGACCGTAACAATAGGACAAGGGTCCCTGGGCACCCTCTCTCTGGGGTATCTCCCACCACATGCTATGGGTTTCCTAATCCCGATCCCCTTTTTCCTGTTTTCAGACATCCAGAGGCATCAGAAGGGGAGCTGTCCACACAGGATGAGCCAGACAGGACCAAGCCAGAAGGTAGGCTGCATCCGGGCCTCCGCCCTGCCAGGGAGCCCACAGGCCACATTCTCACCACCATTGGGGGCGGGGGGGCCTCGCTGCTCGTTGTCCCCAAGAGAAAGGGTAGCTGGTAGGACAGCTACATTCAGACAATGGACAGGGCAAGGGAGACTGGGAAGTCTGCGAGCCACAGTCCCTGACCCCCAAACAATGCCTCTTGCCAGGCCCTTCATCTGTTTCTGAGCCACACTCAACTCTGACTGCCCAGACAACATCCAGGCCTTTCCCCACAGGCAGTGCCGCCAGGAGGTAGCAGTGGAGGTCCCTTGGCTCTCTGGCCCCAGCCTCCCTCCCTGTTCCACCTTCTGCAGCTCCAGGGACTCGCTATGGCCTCAGGACACTCCTGCCTTGCTCCCTCTGCAGGCCATAACATCCCCTTCCTCTGACCTCTTCTGAAACCTCCTCGCTCACGTGGTTCCTTCTTACCATGTGGCCCACTGGACCACTGAGCCTAATCATCCAAAAATTGAAACCCCTTTTCTTCAAGAGCGGGAAGGCTTACACATCAAACCTTCTAGTACTGCAAGAGAAAAGGAAGAAGAGGCCAGGCGCGGTGGCTCACGCCTGTAATCCCAATACTTTGGGAGGCCGATGTGGGCAGATCATCAGAGGTCAGGAGTTCGAGAACAGCTGGCCAACATGGTGAAACCCTGTCTCTACTAAAAATACAAAAAATCAGCCAGGCACAGTGGCGCACACCTGTAATCCCAGCTACTCAGGAGGCTGAGGCACAAGAATCGCTTGAATCTGGGAGGTGAAGTTTGCAGTGAGCCGAGATCATGCCACTGCACTCCAGCCTGGGCAACAGAGTGAGACTCCATCTCAAAAAAAAAGAAAAAAAAGAAAAAGAAAAAAGGAAGAGGAGGCCGGGCGCGGTGGCTCAAGCCTGTAATCCCAGCACTTTGGGAGGCCGAGGCGGGCGGATCACAAGGTCAGGAGATCGAGACCACAGTGAAACCCCGTCTCTACTAAAAATACAAAAAAAAATTAGCCGGGCGCAGTGGCGGGCGCCTGTAGTCCCAGCTACTCAGGAGGCTGAGGCAGGAGAATGGCGGGAACCCGGGAGGCGGAGCTTGCAGTGAGCCGAGATTGCGCCACTGCACTCCAGCCTGGGCAACAGCGTGAGACTCCGCCTCAAAAAAAAAAAAAAAAAAAAAAAAGGAAGAGGAGAAGCAGAGAAGAAAAACATAAAACACTGCCATGTTAAAATATACATTATCACTCCAGATGCCAGAAATACCCTCATTCTGGTGTCCCAGGGGTCAGGAAATTGGAACCACAGAGAAAGCAATGCAGTGGAAGGATTGCGCAGGGCCCGGCGGGGAAGCACGCCTACACGGCCACAATCATGCAAATGCTGTTTATTGATTTTCAGATTGTAGAGTCCACCTATGGACAAAGCACAGAAGACTTAGTTTTGCTTACAGAACAGAAGGTAGATGTTAACAACAGGGATGATGGAAAAGTAAGGTACATCAGAACTTTAGGGATACAGTTAGCGCTGGGGGAACCACTGCTGGGTGGAGACAAGCTTTGGGGCAGAAGAGAAGCCCAGGAAGGCCTTGGCAGTTGACTGCGTGACCCTGGGCCGGATACTCCGTTGCCCCCCTGCCCTACCCCGCATACCTGGGTGGTGCTAGAGGATGTCGCTGGTGTGATAGCACCTCCTCGTACTCGTCCTTCTTTAGGGAAGACTAAGAGGAGGGAGAGAGTTGGAAGGGGAAGGTCCCAATGCTGCCATGGTCATCAGACACAGAAGGAAGTCGCCAGACTGAGGTAGGCGGTGGGGCTTGGACACCGTGCTAACTTGAAGATGAGCTAAAACAGGGACGAGTGGAAGCAGCTTTTCCTAAGACACGCCCCCCAGGGTGCCACGTCAGTTTACCATTGCCATGGCAACACCCTGGCATACCGCCCTTTTCCGTGGCAAAGACCCCAGGACCCAGAAGTTACTACCCCTTCCCTAGAAAGTTTTGTATACGCCGCTCCTTAATCTACATGTAATTAAAAGTGGGTGTAAATCTGACTGCAGAACTGCCCTGAGCTGCTGCTGCCCCCTGCCTATGGGGTAGCCCTGCTCTGCAGGGCAGTCACAGAGTTGCAACACTGCAGCTTCAATACAGCTGTTTTGGTTTTGTTCCTTGGTTTGTTTTGTTTGTTGTTGTTGTTTCGTTGTTGGTTTTTTTGTTTGTTTTTTCTAGATGAAGTTTTACTCTCGTTGCCCAGGCTGGAGTGCGGTGGCGCAATCTCAGTTCACTGCAACCTCCGCCTCCCAGGTTCAAGCGATTCTGCTGCCTCAGCCTCCCGAGTAGCTGGGATTATAGACGCCTGCCACCACATGCAGCTAGTTTTTTTGTATTTTTAGTAGAGACGGAATTTCACCATGTTGGCCAGGCTGGTCTGGAACTCCTGACCTCAGGTGATCCACCCACCTCGGCCTCCCAAAGTGCTGGGATTATAGGCGTGAGCCACTGCGCCCGGCCACAGCTGTTTTCTTCTACCCCACCACTGGTGCTTGCCTTTGAAATCTTTCCTGGGGGAAGCCAAGAGCCCTCTCAGGCTAAGCTCCAGTTTCGGGGCTTGCCCACCCTACATCAAGACCCACTAAAATCAGTGGGATTCTAGAGAGTTCTAAGTGTCCTGCATAAAGTTACAAAAATAACCAAGAGATGACCCCCCAAATCTAACTATCACAAATGGGGAGACAGGGAGGGGTACCAGGGATGAGAAAGGATCAGAGCATCAAATCCTCATTTGTCATTGACATGGAGTAAAATCGACGGGTGGAGAAACTGATTTAAACAGATTACTTGGAAATAGAGAAAACCACCAGAAGAATTAAAAACAGGGTCAATTAAAACCATGGCATGGAAGGAATGGAAGGGGTAGGGGAGAAAACCACTTTATTCATGAGCTCTTCTGTGCGTTTTGGATTTTTTTTTTTTTTTTTTTACCATGGGCGTGTCTGACTTTGATTTCAAAAATTAATTTTAAATTTTAAAAAGTGACACCACGATCCTGGTCAGCAGAACCAGAAGTGACCAGGCCACTTGCTCCCTGCCTAGGTGTCAGGCTGACTGTGGGTCTCAGGGGGGTCAGTGCTGCAGTGAGTGCCCTGGGGACAGGGGGAGCTCTGCGGGTGGCTCTGCAGGTGGCCCTGTGGACAGCTCCGCAGGTGGTGCTGTGGGGGGCTCCGCAGGTGGCCCTGTGGACAGCTCTGCAGGTGGTGCTGTGGGGGGCTCCGCCGGTGGGTCCGCAGGTGGCCCTGTGGACAGCTCTGCAGGTGGTGCTGTGGGGGGCTGTGCCGGTGGCTCTGCGGGAGGCTGCGTGGCTCCCTGGCTCAGCATGTTCCGGCAGCGCAGCCTCTCCTCCTCCTGCTTCTCCGCCATGCGGTTCTCCAGCAGCCTCAGCTCCCTGCGCACCGCCTTCTGCATGGATGGCTCCAGCTCCAGCACTTTCTGGAGGTCCGCCTTGGCCTCGGCCTCGTTCCACACCTCCGCGTGAGCCCGGGCACGCACATAGTAGGCCTTCACGATGCCTGTGGAGAGCAGGGAGCATCCAGCCGCAGCTCCCTGCCCAGCCTCAGAGGCAGCCCCCGCCCAGCTGGGACTCACCAGCCTCCAAGACCCTTAGCCCCGCCACGATCCTTAACCTCTCTGTACCCCCAATCCCTCAGTTTCCTCAACTGTAAGATGGAGATGATGATCATAATGGCAGTACCTCCTTCTCTCCTTTTCAAGGCCCTGTGACTAATTTTATATTCATAACTTTTATTTTTCTTACAGATGCTCCCTAAATGAGATAACCTTCAGTCCCTTTCCCTGCACCTCCCCCACATGGTGATTATGAGAATTACAAGGATTAAATGAGATAATAAACACAGAGGACTTGAGCCTGACGCACGAGCCAGGGCCTGGGTGGTGTTACCGTGAGCACTATTCAAGCGGTAAGTCAATACTAGTAGTACTGGAGGTGCCATATCCTCGCAACACCTGTACTAGTACCGGCATAATATTTTTCTCTATATTGATTGCCCCTCTTTTTTAAAAGCCTATTTACTGTTCCACTGAAAACACAAGCTTGGTGAGCTTCCTGGGTAAGTGTTCAAACACACATTAAAATAAAGGGCCCCCCACGCCAAGCACTGCCCATCCATCACCCACGATTCAATTACACACTCGGGGAAACCCCGCTGGGTGGAGACAAGGTTCGGTGCCCCGATGGGGTGGAAAGAAAAGTCCAGGAAGGCTATGGCAGGTGTCTCCGTGGCCCTGAGCCGGGCGCCCCCTCGCTGCCCGCCCCTGCAGCCCCACACACCTGGGTGGTGCCGGAGAATGTCACTGGTGTGCTCCAGCACCTCGTAATACTCCTCCTTCTTCAGCAGGCACTGGCAGTAGTTGAGGGTCAGGGTGTTGATCATCTTCTCCAGCTTCAGCCACTGCACCTCCCACGGCTTCTCCTGCCCAGGGAGAAGGTCAGCCATGACCTCAGGCGGCTGCCCAACCCCCGCCCCACCCTCGCCGGCGCTGGGCAGGTCCCCCAGAGTCAGCCCCACTTCCCACCCATGGCCAGCGGCCTCTGACCTTGGTCTGCAGGTTCCTTAGGCAGATGATGGCCTCCTGGTACTTGGAAGAGGCCTCCTCGTAGCGGCCCAACTTGAAGAGCCGATTTCCCTCTCCGTGGAGGACGGGCACCACCTTCATCTTCTCATGATTGCTCAGGTTCCAGGTCTCCCTCTGGTAATCACTCGGGGCGTCAACCTGGCCCCAGAGCTGCAGGTCAGTGAGGCAGGGACCCCAGGGGCCTGCACCCCATCAGGGACCCGAAAGACTGGACCTTGGCACAGCTCCCTGAAGTCATGCTTGCTGATCAAGTGCATACAGACAAGGGAAAGAAGCGAAAATGCCAAAAACCCTGCCCTAAATCCATGCCTTTGTGCAAACTAGGAAAAGGTGCCCGTTCATCAAGACACTTCACTTCTAATATTCAGAAAATTGTCGTGAATACTCATTTTGTTAGAACAATACACTATTGCCATCTGCTGGAAACTTGTCATTATAGAAATACCGATGTACGATGTCTATAATGAGCATAATGAGCACCTTGGAGGAGATGCCGGTGCACCTCGTGCAGTGCACAGACCACGCAACTGTGACAGCAAGCCTGTAAAGGCTCTTGGTTGACACAGTTCTTATTTTATTTTTATTCACTCACATAGCTCTCAGGCTGAGCCTCAGTCTTGGCCATAAGCTGAATCCTGACCTGACCTTGACCCTGGCCCTAACCCTCTCTCACCAACCCGCAAACACGCGCTGTCAATCACTCTGGGGCTGTGGGTGGGAGGATATGGGGAGTTCCATGCAGCCTCTCCCGCTACTAGAGAACCAAGTCTGAACCCACAAACCACAGGAACCGAAGAGGTTATAATCTCCAACTCTCGAAAATGAAAGTGGAAGTAGATAACAAATAGAAGTAAAATGCCTCCAAAATGAAAACAAATCACATTTTTAAAAAGTGGTTCAGCCGGGCGTGGTGGCTCAAGCCTGTAATCCCAGCACTTTGGGAGGCCGAGACGGGCGGATCACAAGGTCAGGAGTTCGAGACCATCCTGGCTAACACAGTGAAACCCCATCTCTACTAAAAAATACAAAAAGCTAGCCGGGCGAGGTGGCTGGCACCTGTAGTCCCAGCTACTCGGAGGCTGAGGCAGGAGAATGGCGTGAACCCGGGAGGCGGAGCTTGCAGTGAGCTGAGATCCGGCCACTGCACTCCAGCCTGGACGACAGAGCGAGACTCCATCTCAAAAACAAAACAAAACAAAAAAAGTGGTTCCAAGCAGACTTTTTTTTTTTTTTTTTTTTTTTGAGATGGAGTCTTGCTCTGTCACCCAGGTTGAAATGCACTGACATGATCTTGGCTCACTGCAACCTCTGCTTCCCAGGTTCAAGCCATTCTCATGCCTCAAATTCCCGAGTAGCTGGGATTACAGGCGTGCACCACCACACCTGGTTAATTTTTGTGTTTTCAGTAGAGACGGGGTTTTACCATGTTGGCCAGGCTTGTCTCGAACTCCTGACCTCAGGTGATCCAACCCCCTCGACCTCCCAAAGTGCTGGGATTACAGGCGTGAGCCACCACACCCAGCACCAATTGGACCTTTCTTGTGGAAAAATCAGAGGACTGTCGTTTCACATTCGTATTGTCCCCTGGCTTATGAACCCTTTCTTGTTCTCTAAAGAGAAACAGGGCACTGTCCAGTGGCCAGTGGGGTGGGGGTGCCTGTGATGCCCGCTGTCCCTCTCCGGTGCTGGCACAGCCCTCCAGCCCTGCCTACCCCGAGCCCCACCTGCAGCAGCTCGATCACAAAGATCAGAGGCTGAGGCTCCTTCTGCAGCTCGTCCAGGTCCTCGTAGCCCAGCGTGTGGTAGGCGAACATGTTGGCCAGCCCGCATGTGTGCACGTGCCACTCCGTGGGGTCCTTGCCCTGGGCCATCTGCCGCAGGCTCCGGGACAGGATGGGGTAGACCCCCGTGTGCTGTGGGGAGAAACAGATGGATGGCATCTGGGCTACCTGCTCAGAGCTAGGTGGGCCACAAAAGGCCTCCACTCAGAGCCCCTCCTGGCAGGAATCCTGCTCCCTCACTATGCCACTAATACTAACTGTGGTTAACTGTGTGCCAGGCAAAGCACTTCACACTGTTATGAGCCTCTTCAATCCTTACGACAATTCAAGAGAAGCATCATTATCCCCATTTTACAGATGGGGAAACTACAGCCCAGAGAGGCAAAGCAACTTGCTTAAGGTCACACAGCTAGGAAATGACGCAGCCAGGATTCAAACCTGGCTCCAGAGGCCATATGCTCTTAGCCTCCGGCTGCCTCTTCTGACCCTTGTGGTCCGCTGTAACACATCTCTGCCCCAAGGAAGCCCTGAGCTCCACAAAGCCTATGACTTGCAGGAAGGGCAGTGTGGGGCAGTGGAAGGAGCAGGACTCCAGGGTCCAAGAGAGTCACTTTGGTCTCCTGGCAGTGCTGCAGGCTAGCAGTGACCCCAGGTCTCCGCACTTCTCTGAACCCCAGTTCCCTGGGTTGCTCCTGTCCAGTATTAGGGCTGCTGTAGGGATTAAATGAGATGGTGCAGATATACGTCTGGCTCATCACAGCTTCAGCCAGCACGGGAGCTGAGTTTGCCACCCTTGGGATGAAGGAGGGCTGGGAAAATCAGCCGTACAGCCTCAGCGAGGCCCGCTGTATGTATGCTGGGCCTCAGTTTCCCCGACTAGGCTCCCTGAGAACCCATCTCCTTGGACTGGCTTCTGAGACGATCCAGCACTGGCTCCACATGCAACATACGACTTGAAGGGGCTGAAACTGTGCAGCGGTTCAGCTCTGCTTCCAGGTCACCAGTGCAGAGGCAGAGGCCACCCCGCCCGCCCCACCGGCCAGGATTAGCCCGAAATGCCTTCTGCCTCTTTGTGGAAGAGATGAGCAGATGGCTGTTGAGCCTGTTGGGATTAGAGCTGGACCAAGGGAGGGAGAAGCCCCAGAAACAGCTTGCTGCCAGGGGGGCCACCTCTGGCTCTGACTCAGCAGCCCCCAGCTCGGCACGCCATGGCCCCCAGCAAGCTGAGCTTTTGTGGCCCCAAAGCACACTGCCCTCACTTACTTATGTCGTGGCACTGGCTGCTCTGCATTACAATTGTTTAGATGTCTGCTCCTCCTCCAGATTTCAAGTTCCCTAAGGACTTGGGGCTTTTCATTCCTAACATACAGCACAGGCCAAATCAGGTGCCCAGTGAATGTTTTCTAACTAGATAGATAGATAGATAGATAGATAGATAGATAGATAGATAGATAGATAGATAGATGGATGAATGATAGGAGATAGAAGATGATGGATGCATGCAGTGATGGAAGCCTGAATTATGCATGAAGATTGGTTGAAGGGAAAAATGGATGAATTGATGCCTGGGCAGGTGGGTGGATGGATAAGAGGTGGATGTGCAGGTGAAGAACTAACTCTAAAAGGGGTGTGTGTGTGTGTGTGTGCATGTGCACACAATCACGACAGCCATGGGCTGGGGTGAGGAGATGTGGGGAGCATGGAAAACTTGGGAAAACCCATAGTTACTATGGGAGCAGTGGCTCATGCCTGTAATCCCAGCACTTTGGGAGGTCAAGGTGGGTGGATCACCTGAGGTCAGGAGTTCAAGACCAGCCTGGCCAACGTGGCGAAATCACATCTCTACTAAAAATACAAAAATGGGCCCGGTGTGGTGGCGAGCACCTGTAATTCCAGCTATTCAGGAGGCTGAGGCAGGAGAATCACTTGAACCCAGGAGGCAGAGGTTGCAGTGAGCCAAGCCCACACCATTGCACTCCAGCCTGGGCAACAACAGTGAAATTCCATCTCAAAAAAAGAAAAAAAAAAATGAAAAAAAAAAAACAGTTACCAGCCTGTGATATAGGCAATGCACTCATGTGACTATCAACATGGAAAAAGGAACACAGACTCCACAGGAAACAAAGAGCCATGCCCACATTACAGGAACGACAACAGCTTGTGGTTTTGCAAAAAACAAATCAATCAACTGATCAAGAATTTATTGACAGCCTTCTATGCACTCAGCTGTCATGTGTTAGCAAACGTGTATCCTATGGAGAGGGGACTCTTAGTGGCAGCCAAGACTTGCCTCACGTATGGCATGAATCAAAGTACAGGACCCCCTCACTCTAAGCAAAGTCAATAGATATATTTTTAAACTAACTGAAATCACAAAGAAGCCAATTTTCTGAAGCCTTGACTTGATAAAAAGAAAAAATTAAGATAAAAATATCAAAATGAAGAAAAACACAGGGACTGCTACAAAGGAAAGATGTTCAACAAATATTTGCTACATGAATGAATAAATGAATAACATGTTGAGTGGGACCACCTACTGGCAGAGGATGGTGCTGCAGCCCAGCTATATTAGACACTGCGAGAAACGTGTGCAGGATGAAGAGGGAACCAGGCATCTCACCCAGATCTTTTCCCTTAACTTGTTTGAGCCACTGCAAGTTATTTTCCCTTTTGGAGTCTTAAGTTTCCTCATTAGGAAAAATTCCTCATTTTTCCTAGAAAAAATCTCATATTTTTTCTAGGCTGGGCATGGTGGCTCATGCCTGTAATCCCAGCACTTTGGGAGGCCGAGGCAAGCAGATCACTTGAGGTCAAGAGTTCAAGACCAGTCTGGTCCAACATGATGAAACCCCATCTCTACTAAAAATACAAAAAAAAAAAAAAATATATATATATATACACACACACACACACACACACACACACACACATACACATATGGGTTTGGTGGTGGGCACCTGTAATCCCCAGCTACTCAGGAGGCTGAGGCAGGAGAATAATTTGAACCTGGGAGGCAGGGGTTCCAGTGAGCCAAGATCGTGCCACTACACTCCAGCCTGGGTGACAGAGTGAAACTCCATCTCAGGAAAAAAAAAAATTCTAGCTCAAAATAATAGCTTTCATTTTTAATTGCTCTGTATTATGATTCACCCTCATATGTTATATCATGTAATCTCCAAAACAACTCCTTAACTTAGAGTTTTGTTTATTTATAAATGGAGGAATAGAGTAGCAGACAGAAGACGGGACTTCCCCAGGTCATGCAACTAATGAACGACAGAACAGAGTTCAAACCGTCCCCAAAATGCTCATTTAAAAGGTCAGTGGCCTCTGACGAAATAATGAGTCTGGGTATCTGCCACCAATGGTGAAAGTCTAGGGGGAGCTTTGGAATGGATGGATCAGGCTGTCAACACCTAAACCCACCAATCACTCTTAACGTCATCGTAAGAAAGACAACCAAGTGTGATGTTCTTCTCCCAAAGGGAAGTATATGGTACCATCCATGGCAGACTTCCGAAAACAAGAGAGAGAGAGAGGGAGAGAGAGAGAAGAATCTGAATCTTATCAGGTCCTCTTGACCTCACTTTCAATTTATCAAAAATGTGGGGAATAGAGGAGCATGTTAGACAATTCCATGGCAAAACAACCAGGAAAATCAGAATGTGGGACTTCTACAGGATAAATGACCCAGTTCCTTCAACATTTCCGTGTCAAGGAAGAAAAGAAGAAAAGGAGGTGGAGCTGTAGATGAAAAGGGACTTGAAGGACGCATCAACAAAGCGCTATGCAGGGACTTTGGTTGGTTGTTGATTTAAACAAACCAAACTCATTCATTTATAAAGAATAAAAGAGTCAACCAAAGAAAATTTAACAGTGACTGGATATTAGATGGCTTTAAGGAATTACTGGAGTTTTTAAAAGATTTCATAATGATATCATGGTTTTTTTTTAATATCCTCTTTTTTTTTTTCTTTTTTAGATGGAGTCTTGCTCTGTCACCAGACTGGAGTTCAGTGGCATGATCTCAGCTCACTACAACCTCCGCCTCCCGGGTTCAAGTGATTCTCCTGCCTCAGCCTCCTGAGTAGCTGGGATTACAGGTGTGCACCACCACACCCGGCTAATTTTTGTATTTTTAGTAGAGACGGGGTTTCACCATGTTGGTCAGGCTGGTCTCGAACTCCTGACTTCGTGATCTGCCCGCCTTGGTCTCCCAAAGTGCCAGGATATCCTCATATTTTAGAGATACAAATTTTAGTATTTACAGATGAAATGATATGGTGTCTGGCATTTGGTTTAACCAGGCAGGACAAGGAAGGGAAGTGGATGGGTTGGGAGATGAAGCAAGACCAGCCACGGGTTGATGGTGGCCGGCACTGGGTGATGGATGCTTGTGAGTTCATTATTCTTCCTGTTGACTTTTGTGTATGTTTGAAAGTTCCCACAAGAAACGTTGCCTAAGAGTCAGTGAGTTTTGCCACAAGGCAAGGAAGCTAACTTATAAGGGTAATTTACGGAGTGCTATAAATAGGAGGGGAAACTTGTAATGTGAGGAGGAGGGCAAAAAAAAATGTGCAATGTGAGGAGGAGGGATTAGACCAAGGCTGGTCTAATCATGCTGTATAAAATCTCCAGGTCTAATCATGCTGTATAAAATCTCCAGGTCTAATCATGCTGTATAAAAAGCAAGGAGTTGGCCCGGCATGATGGCTCATGCCTATAATTCCAGCACTTTGGGAGGCCGAGACAGTCCGAGGATTGCGTAAGCCCAGGAGTTTAGGACCAGCCTGGCCAACATGGCGAAACTCTGTCTCTACAAAAAATACAAAAATGAGGTGTGGTGGCGCACCTTAGTCCCAACTACTTGGAAGGCTGAAGTGGGAGGATCACCTGAGCCCGGGAAGTTGAGGCTGCAGTGAGCCATAATTACGCTACTGCACTCCAGCGTGGGTGACAAAGCGAGACCGTATCTCTCTCTCTCTCTCTCTCACACACACACACACACGCAAATGTGAGGACTGTGAAGTGGGCCGGCTCACTCCTGCTGAGGATAGCCCTGCTCCCCACCAGCCAGCCAAGGCATGGGTCACCCCTTCCAGCCCTGTCCCCTCCATCTTCACATGCACAGTGGTGGGGAATAAGGTAGCAGGATTGCCTTTGCAGAGCTTCGCTTGAGTCCCAGCTTTCCTGAAACACAGCAGCCCTGCAAAGCGGGTGGGTGAGCCAGAAGAGACTAGTCCCAGGGGACAGGCGCGCAGGCCGACTTACGATGGTGTCGCACCAGAACTCGGCCACCTCGTGCACCCTCATGGAGGTGAGCAGGATCTCCCAGACCTCGAGCTTGAACATGTTCCCGATGATGATGTGCATGGGCTGGTCCACCTGACGGCTGTCGTCGATGACCGTGCGCTCCTCATCACATTTCATGGTGCGGAAATGAAAGATCACCTGGTCACCGAGACGGTGCACTCCGCTCTAGACACACCGCTCAAGGCCTGGCAGAAGCCACCCCCTTGCCACCGACACTCAGGGCTGTCCCCAGGGTCAGCTCACTCAGTTCACCCCATCAGATGCCTCAGATCCCCTGAGCACCTCCACCCTGCCTGCACCCGCCAGGGAGTAGGGACCCACCCCCTCCCTACGGACCCCATTCCACTCCCCACAGTCCTGTGTGTCCGGAAGTCCTTCCTCAAATCAGCCCCGAGTTTTTTTGTTTTTGTTTGTTTGTTTTTTTGTTTTTTGTTTTTTTGAGACAGAGTCTCACTCTGTTGCCCAGGCCGGAGTGCAGTGGTGTGATCTCGGCTCACTGCAAGCTCCACCTCCTGGGTTCAAGTGATTCTCCTGCCTCAGTCTCCTGAGTAGCTGAGCTGGGATTACAAGCGCCCAGCACATCCAGCTAATTTTTGTATTTTAGTAGAGACGGAGTTTCACATGTTGGTCAGGCTGGTCTCAAACTCCTGACCTCGTGATCTGCCCATCTTGGCCTCCCAAAGTGCTGGGATTACAGGCGTGAGCCACCTCACCCGGCCAAAGGTCAGAGTTCTGTAGCCACAGACGCACCCTTCAGTCCAGGGAAGCCCAACAGACATTTGGGGACAAATACCAAGACCTCTGGGACCCCCTTTCTTCTCAACATTTAGGGCTCCAGAAAATTCCCCAAAGCCCTGCCCCTCAGCCCATGCTAAAGTCGAATCTGCAAAGTACCAAAAATGCCCCGTGACTGGGTAGACGCTGGGAGCTCCCCGGAGGCCCAGGGCTGGGGATGCCTGGCTGTTTTTTGGCAAAGCTGAAAGCTGTTGACAGTGCCTTGGGGCACACCTGGAATGTGGAAGGCGGCTGTAGGGGACCCTGTCCGCTCCGGAGGGGCCCCACTCACTCGGGATCCGGTGATGAAGTTTGGGAGCTCGCCCGTGCCTCCGTGCAGAATGGTTTTCTTGACCCCTTCCACGTTCAGGAGCAGAGCGGCATCCATGGCTGCAGGAGGAAAGGCGGTGTCCGGCACAGGCGGGGATAATCTCACCTCCGGGGAAGACACTTAGGCGGCTGAGACTCTGGGATTTGCCCAGCCAGGAGGAGTGTGGGGGAAGGGCAGACGGTGGGGGCGGTGCCCCAGGCGCCCCAGTTTCTCATCAGAGCCACTCGGGCCAGGCCTGTGGTCCGCAGGCAGCCTCGCCTCCTATCCCATCCACCGCTCCGTCCAGTGATTCTGGGCCCCTGCCCGACACATGCCAGGGCTGTGCTAGGCTTGGATTTTCTTCCACCCCAAGAAGGAAAAAGGTCCGCTGAGCTTTCTTAAAGAAGACAGGGGGCCGGGCGCGGTGGCTCACGCCTGTAATCCCAGCACTTTGGGAGGCCGAGCGGGCGGATCACGAGGTCAAGAGATCGAGACCATCCTGGCCAACATCGTGAAACCTCGTCTCTACCAAAAATGCAAAAATTAGCCAGGCGTGGTGGCAGGCGCCTATAGTTCCAGCTACTTGGGAGGCTGAAGCAGGAGAATCACTTGAACCCGGGAGGCGGAGGTTGCAGTGAGCCAAGATTGCACCACTGCACTCCAGCCTGGCGATGTGGAGAGAGGCCTGGAGGCCACTGAAGGGGAAAAGGTGGGGAGACCTGGGCTGGGCCCAGACTCTAAGCCCCCGAGGACTCCAGGCCAGCCGGGGTGGCAGCTGCCCTTTGCCATCCAGCCACCTTCCTACTTTCCCTGTTCCCCATCCCTTCCCCAGGATCTGCCTTCAGGAGGCCCTGCAATGGTGGCCCAAGGGAAGAGGGGACAGATTTCTGGCTTGGAAGGGAAGGAAGATGGACAACGAAGGCGTGGTGGGTTTGGGCAAAGTTGAGGCGCCCTCCCCAGCCCCGCTCCTGCCTCTCCTGCCAGGTCTGGCTGGGGGCAGGGTGGGTATCCCGTCCCCTTTGGAGCGCCTTAGCCCTGTGCTCTGGGAAGCAGGCAGAGTTTATTCAGGACCTCAGGGACGCCCTTCCGGGCTGGGAAACACAGATGCGAAGACCTGGTGTTTGGCACCACCGCGTGGCCAGTTCAAGCTCCTACACCTCTGCACCCTGAGGGCACTGGACTCGCCGCCACAAAACCGTTCTCTTCCTGACACCAGGCTCATTGGTTGCAGAGGGAAGGGGTGCAGGACTCTGCTACAGGGAGAGATGAAAACACTGGACTAAGGAGGCTGAGGTAGGTGGATCACCTGAGGTCAGGAGTTCGAGACCAGCCTGGACAACATGCTGAAACCCCGTCTCTACTAAAAATACAAAAATTACCTGGGTGTGGTGGTGCGTGCCTGTAATCCCAGCTACTCAGGAGGCTGAGGCAGAAGAATCGCTTGAATCCAGGAGGCGGAGGTTGCAGTGAGCCGAGATCACACCACTGCACTCCAGCCTGGGTGACAGAGCGAGACTCCATCTCAAAAAAAAAAAAACAAAAAAAAAAACAAAAAAAAAAAAACTAGACTAGGCTGGGCGCAGTGGCTCATGTCTGTAATCCCAGGACTTTGGGAGCTAAGGCAGGTTGATCACCTGAGGTCAGGAGTTAGAGACCAGCGTGGCCAACATAATAAATCCCCATCTCTACTCAAATTACAAAACTTAGCTGGGCATGGTGGCAGGCGCCTGTAATCCCAGCTACTCAGGAGGCTGAGGCAGGAGAATCACTTGAACCCAGGAGATGAAGGTTGCTGTGCACTGAGATCATGCGGCTGCACTCCATCCTGGGCCATAGAGTGAGACTGTGTATCAAAACAAAAAAAAAAAAAAGAAAAAAAAAGAAAAGAAAAAGAAGAACACTGGGGTAAGCCAGACACAGCTGAGTTCAAAGGGCTGACCCTTTCCTGTATACTGACCTTATGGCCTTGGAGGTCTCTCGTTGTCTCTCACTGCATTTTCCCAATTGAAACGGGAAGACTGACGTCTCCTTCCTCCCTCTCAGGGGAAGTTGGGAGGGCTGCAGCAGTGAATGGCACCCTGAAATCTAGCACCGCGGAAAGTCTTCCATCCCTGGAAGGTAGAAGGCCGCAGAAAACCTTGCCCTCCTGCCTTCCATCCTTTCTCCAGCCACACGGCAGCCTAGAGAGGTCCGCACGCATAGGTAAAGTGGATACTTAGCAAAACTAATACAGGAGTTCTTAAGAAATAATTTTTAGGCAGATAGTAAGGGTAAAGGTTCTCGGTGGAAATTTTCCTGCAATAAAAAACAACCCCCGGCCGGGCGCGGTGGCTCACGCCTGTAATCCCAGCACTTTGGGAGGCCGAGGCGGGCGGATCACAAGGTCAGGAGATCGAGACCATCCTGGCTAACACTGTGAAACCCCGTCTCTACTAAAAATGCAAAAAATTAGCCGGGCGAGGCGGCGGGCGCCTGTAGTCCCAGCTACTCGGGAGGCTGAGGCAGGAGAATGGCGTGAACCCGGGAGGCGGAGCTTGCAGTGAGCCGAGATCGCGCCACTGCACTCCAGCCTGGGCGACTAAGCGAGACTCTGTCTCAAAAAAAAAAAAAAAAAAAACCCGAAACCATCTCTTTTCTAACAGAAAGGGCCGCTTAAAGGGCCAGGCTGGCAAGCCTCAATATGCAAATGCCGGCCATTAGAAACTGGGTTCACTCATATGGCGATTCCCGCTGTCTTTTCCCTGTCATCAGGTGTACCGAGTGTCATGGTCACCTCCAGATAACAGCATGTGTTCAGAACATCATGGCGACCCGCATTTGCATATTAGAGGGCTAAGGTGGGAGGGCCAGGGTTTTTGCGGGCTATGTAAATTATACCTGGTCAAACCAATCCCCTGGGCCCTATGGAAATCAGACACCGCCTCCTCAGCCTCTTCGTGTAAGCAGCCACTTCCCACCACTCCACCCTGAGCAGGGGGTTTTCTCTTTGTTCAAATCTCCCCCTTCCCTCTCACTCTGTATGGGGGAGCTATTCTCTTCTTCCTTCCTTCTTTCTTGCCTATTAAACTTTTTGCTCCTTAAAACCACTCCACGTGTGTCCGAGTCGTTAATCCTATCGGCGCAAGACCAAGAACCCTGGAGTTCCTCCAGTCATCAGAGCTGTATCAAAACTACAAAGGAAAATAAAAGTGTTTATCATAAAAGTCTAAGGAGAGAGGGAGAGCACACGCATCCCTCACAGGTGGCAAGTGTCTGCTTCTGGGATGCTGGCAATGCTCACCCTTGACCTAGGTGATGCTTACATGGGTGTTGGCTTTATAAGTACAGTAAGTCCTCACTTAATGTCCTTTTAGGTTCTTGGAAACTGCAGTCTGAAATGAAAGGACATACATCAGGTCCTCAAATAACATCCTTTCAATCAATGTCATCATTTTGTTATAATGTTGATGAGAAAAAAAGGTGGTTTCCTTATATGTCATTTCACTGAAAGTCAGTTTTTTTTTTTTGTTTTTTTTTTTTTCTTGAGATAGAATTTTGCTCTTGTTGCCCAGGCTGGAGTGCAATGGAGTGATCTTGACTCACTGCAACCTCCGCCTCCTGGGCTCAAGTGATTCTCCTGCCTCGGCCTCCCGAGTAGCTGGGATTACAGGTGCCTGCCACCTTGCCAAGCTATTTTTTTTTTTTTTTTTTTTTTTAGTGGATACAGGGTTTCATCACGTTGGCCAGGCTGGTCTCGAACTCCTGACCTCAGGTGATCCACCTGCCTTCTTGGCCTCCCAAAGTGCTGGGATTACAGGTGTGAGCTACCACACCCAGGCTAAAGTCAGTTTTCAAACACCTATTGACAGCATTAAGTAAGGACTCACTGTATTCATGACACTAGATTTTATGTCTTAGGCAGTTTTCTATCAGTGATATAATTCACAATGAAAAAGATCCAATTGTGTCTCTTCTCACACTTCTTAAAACTCTCCCACTGTTTCCATTGCTTCCCTTTGTAGAGGGTCAAAGGGCACACACACATTGCAGAGACGTTTAAACAGTAAAACTGATAGATGTAGCCTGTGGTTGATTGGGGGAGGTGGGGGCAAGAAGAAAAGGGGATGTTGAAGCTGATGCCAGGGGTGTTGGTTTCCCTGCTGAGAAGAATGATGATCGTTCCTGGTCTGTGCCTGGGCTTGGGCCACAGGCTACAGACTGATGCCCCAGAAACCCTTTGCCTGCTGTCTTAGTTCATTCTCTGTGATTGTAACTGAACACCACAGAATGCATAATTTATTATTTTTTTTTTTAAAAAGACATTTGTTTAACTCATAGTTGTGGAGGCCGGGAAATCCAAGAGCATGGTGTTGGCATCTTGTGAGGGCCTTCTTGCTACATCATAACATGGTGGAAGGCATCACATGGTAAGAGGACAAGAGCATGCATATCAGCTCAGGTCTCCGTCCCTCTTCTTGTAAAGCCTCCAATCCTATCACAGGGTCCTACCCTGATGATGTTATCTAATCCTAATTACCCTCCAAAGGCCCCACCCATAAATATCATCAACATATGAATTTGAGGATTCAGTTTCCAACAAATGAAATTTGGGGGACACATTAAAACTATAGCCGCTCCCAAACCAGTCTCGTCATGGACTTCATTAAAATGCCGCTCTAATAACCTACTGCCCTCTTAACGTTCAGCAAAGAGTTGCCACCACCTTCAGGACAAATTTTAAGCTCCTTCTCGGACCTACAGACCCTGTCTCTTGCCACCCCATCCCCTACCCTCAGCCCCTGATCTCAGCCCTACCCTTTTTGTCCAGACTTTCCCCAGTCCTAACACTTGGCAATGCTCCAGACTCCCAACCATTGGCCCACTAGCTCCTCACTTCAAACACCACACATTCAGGGAAGAGTACCCTGACCTCCAGCTCCAGTCAATCTCCCCATCCCCCTTGTACCCCCGTCACTTCTCCCTAGCACTGCACATTCATGCTACTTTGCCCAATTGTAATTGTTTACAATAATGTGTTTAATGTCTATGTCTTCCATCAGATTGACAGTTTCAGGAGGTCAAGGAAACTAGTGGAATGTTTGCTCTTGGACAAAGAGCCCCTGGATAGCAGGGCTGGAGCTTCTCCTTTATCCCCCTCCCCAACAGAGGCAAGGGTGATGCTGGATTCCCTCCCCCTCCAAAAGCCTCCACTAGGAACAAGTGACTGGTTTCTCCTCCTTACCAAGAACAGAAGCCCCTGTACTGACCTCTGGACTAGGAGCCTGTTTCCCCTGAGCACAGCCTCCTTCCCTCCCTCCAGCCACCACTCCATGCAAGGCAGAAGGGAAAGGCTTCTCATTCAGAAGAAAATGTTTCTTCCTCCTTTACTTGTTGCCATGGAGACTGTTCTTCATTAACCTGACCTGCCGGTTACC